ATGCCATTAGTATCGACTAAGAGTTTAAAATATTTATATCATATTGTTGCATTATAATGATTATAAGGGCTGAACAACGAAACCGTCAAATCGTAAAACCGAATCGAAACCTTTTTTTGAAACCATTGGTTTGGTTCCACGTGGGTCCGTCAACGCTTTGATTTTGAACCGAACCAAATCACTTTGAAGTGGTTTGGTTTAGGTTTCAAACTTTGCAAAACGTTTCAAACCGCCAAACCGTTCACCAAAAAAATCTAAAAATAAATTAGTCTAAATTTTATTGAACCCAATTGAAAACTTAACACATTTCAAATAAAAAAGATACATCTATATTAGACACAATTCAATTAAACTCAAATCGACAATTATACATCAACTAAACACAACGAAAAATGGAGCGAATCGAATTATAACTATTATACGCAAGACGTAAAATTATTTTACATCGATACTAATAAAAAAATGAATTATCAATTACACCGATGATAATTACCAATTAAAATTTTTTAAAAAAATTATATTTAAGCTAATTTGGTTAAAAGGAATATTTAATTATGGTAATTACCAATTTAAAATTCTTAATTCTTAATTTAGAGAAAATGAAATTATAAATATTAGGTAAAGAATATATAAATATTATTCAATTAAAATTGAAAAATATAAGATTTCTTTAATTTTGGTAATTTAATAAAAGGAATATTTAATTTTTGTAAATATCAATTTAAAATTCTTAATTAGATTATATATTAAAAAAATTTAAAGAAAACAATATTATAAAACTTAAATAAAGAATATAAAGTATTATTCAATTAAAATTGAAAAAATTGAAGAGAATTTTAGTTTTGGCAATTTCATCAAAGAAATATTTAATTTTGGTTAAAAAAATGAAAGGAAAAAATATATTGCTAATTTGTTTAAAAGGAATATTTAATTTTGTTAATTATCAATTTAAAATTTTTATTACTAATCTTTGATAATAGGAAAAAATTATTATTTTTTAACCATAAATTATTTTTTCCTTTTATTTTTTTTTATGTTGTTTCAATTTTAATAATTTTTTTATTTTTATTTTTATTTTTTATTATTAATTTTGATAATAGGAAAAAAATTTCCTTTTTTATAAATTTTTTAACCTAAATTATTTTTTCCTTTTATTTTGGTATGTTGTTTCTAATTAAACACTATTTATATTCATTATTTAATTTTCATAATTTTAACTTTAATGTTAATTTAAATTTTTATTATTAATTTTTTATAATAGGGAAAAAATTTATTTTTTATTCATTTTTAACCTAAATTATTTTTTCTTTTATTTTTGCATGTTGTTTCAATTTTAATTAAATAATATTTACATTCGTTACTTATAATTTTATAATTATAATTATAATTATTAATTTTTGATAAGGAAAAAATTATTATTTCTTTAACATAACTTTTTTCCTTTTATTTTTGTATTTTGTTTCAATTTTAATTAAATAATATTTACATTCGTTACTTATAATTTTATAATTATAATTATAATTATTAATTTTTGATAAGGAAAAAATTATTATTTCTTTAACATAACTTTTTTCCTTTTATTTTTGTATTTTGTTTCAATTTTAATTAAATAATATTTACATTCGTTATTATAATTTTTTAATTTTAATATTAATTTTTATTACTAATCTTTGATAATAGGAAAATTTTATTATTTTTTAACATAAATTATTTTTTCCTTTTATTTTTTTTTATGTTGTTTCAATTTTAATAATTTTTTTATTTTTATTTTTAATTTTTATTATTAATTTTGATAATAGGAAAAAAATTTCCTTTTTTATAAATTTTTTAACCTAAATTATTTTTTCCTTTTATTTTGGTATGTTGTTTTTAATTATACACTATTTATATTCATTATTTAATTTTCATAATTTTAACTTTAATGTTAATTTAAATTTTTATATTAATTTTTTATAATAGGGAAAAAATTTATTTTTTATTCATTTTTAACCTAAATTATTTTTTCTTTTATTTTTGCATGTTGTTTCAATTTTAATTAAATAATATTTATATTCCTTTTGTAATTTTTATAATATTTTAAAATTTGAATTAATATTTCTTAACTTAAAAATATTAACCAAAAAAATATAATGTATATATAAAAAAAATAACAAAAAAATTAAGAAAACATAAAATAAATTAAACAAAACATAAATGAAAAATTAAATAAAGAATAAAAATATAATTTTAAATTGGACTTTTAAATTATTAATCAATTTAAAAGAAAAAAAAAGTGGGCTGACTGTTAAAGTTGGCCCACTGACTGTTAACAGTCTGGGGGGACTGTTAACAGTCAACAGTCAGCAGACTGTTTTCCCGACTGTTAAACAGTCAGCAGACTGTTAACAGCCGTCTGTTTAACAGTCAGTCATTTTTTTCATCGGAGATCGCCATTTCTAATGAGAAAAACTCATTTTCACCCACAAAAAATCTAAATCTACTCATATAATCAACAATCTATCCTAAATAACGAACAATAAATTGAAAAATATTAAGTTTAATGTTCACACCTTTATATTAATAATAAAAAAATCATAATATGATCAATTAACAACCCAAAACACAAGAAGAAGAAGTTCGTCGGCGACTTGGTTGTTGGTGACGGTGTTGATTGGTGACCGATCTCTGATCAACAAGATCTGATTGTGGTGAGATTTTTTTTTTTATTTTTTATTTTTTTTACGTGTTAGTCATTTTTTGGCAGAGGAAGACAAAAGAAAAGTAAAAGAGAAGGAGGGTATTTTTGGGTTTTGATCTTTAAATTCAATTTTTCATCTTTTTTAATTTTTTTTTTTTTAATAAAAGTAGTCAAAGGTCAGTTTGGAAATACCCATCAGCTGGGGAGTCATTTCCAATGATTTCCTCGGGATTTTTAAAGAAGTCCTAGTCAAGCCATCCAAAAAAATTTTAGGCCTCACTTATTCCAAATAAGTTTGTAAGACTTTTTTTCAATTAAAATATCTAAACTATCATTTCTA